ATCGATATTATGTAGTATTTTAAAGATAGGTATAAAGATGACAGTAAAAATTATGTAAAGAATATATATGTTGGTAAAAAATTAAATGTTGGTATATAATATCGGTAATAAATTAACGATCGTTGGTATTATCGGTAATTATATGTTGGTAAGAATTATATGTTGGTAAAAAAATTAAATGTTATATAATATCGGTAAAAATTACCGACCGTCGGTAATATCGGTATGCCCCCCCAATTACCGACCGATGATAACCCCCGCGGTGACGTCATACCCCCACCCGCGGTGACGTCATACCCCCCCGTGACGTCATACCCCCCGCGGTGACGTCATACCCCCCTCGCCCGCGGTACCCCCCGCCCCTCACCCCCCCTCGGAGGACCTGAGTTAGAAACCGCCTATAATACCTACTGCTATCGCTGGTCTTATTGCTGGCCTCTGCGTCGCGTATGTTCTCGGCGACGGCGGGATGTTCGTTTCTCTCCTCCGGATCGCTGGGCAATCGAATTGGCGATGTCCTCTCTCCTTGCAATAAAAGCAAGACGGCTCGACTCGGCACTCCTTGTGGGATTGACCTCTACGCCCACAATTTCGGCAATTTCCTGCGGCTTTGCTTGTAACGTGCGTTACCGCTACCCTCCTTTCTATCTCACCGACTCCCTTCGTTATCACCCGTATTTTCTCAATAAATTCTTCTATCGTTTAGGCATTCAGCGACAGCGCTGTGGCTCGACGAAGCTGACGTGATGCCTCCGATCAACAATTGAATGTAGTTCTTACTGGACAATTCTAAGCAGTGCATCAAGGTCAACTTGTCTAACGTATACTGATTGTAAGTTTCTTTGTGTGATAACCATTTTCGCGCTTCTATCTTGGCCATAGTTTTGAAATAAGGTATCTCCCGATCAAACATTTTTAACAACTCTCTCCTTACCGCAGTCCAGGATTCTATGACGTGGCCTCCCAGCGTATCGTACTAACGACGTGCGGTCCCGACTAGTCGACTCGTCGTCTCTAACAGTGTGATGCCATCGGAAGCGCCGTGGATCCTGGCTACATAGTCGACCCTTTGAATCCAGCTCCGTACGTTGTCCGCCTCCGTTCCCGCGAATTCCGGAATCTGCGGCGCTAAGTTTTGCACCGAGATCATGGTCATCGGCACCTCCGCCGGTCTCGTGATCGGTTGTCTTACTCGAGGTAAGTCCGACGGTGGAGTTGATCGACTCGCCGCAGCACTACTCGTCATCGGTTTTGACGACCCGTCATTTTCTGCGGTCACCGGCACTCTGCTCCGCTCCACCGTCAGTACTCTCACCAGCTGCTGGAACTGATTCTGCTGTTCCTGCATGAATCTTCGCTGCTGCTCCTGCATCCGCTGCTGCTGTTGGACCATACTTTGCGTCAGGGTCACCAAGGCCCTCTGGAATACCTTCTCCGTAACTAGCCGCTCCCGTTGGTTTCCTGATCGCTCCTCGGCCACTCTTGACGCATCGACTTTGTCTCCGCTATTTAAGAAATCGTCTACCGGCCCGTATCTATCCAGATGCGACATTATACTGTCGATCAGGGTACTTCGGTCCCCCGATACCGGTAAGTTGTAGTTTATCGCCTCATCTCTTAATTCATTTAGAATCGTGTTATATACAACTTTCAATACTTCTTAGGCTGTGAAATGATTCATACAGAATCCATTCTAAATGTAAGAGCGAACAATGAACAAGCCTCAGTGCGCACTATTGGAAGCAACTGAATTTGATATTACGTAAAGTATAGCACATTCGATTGATTGTGAGCAATACCAATATGATTCAACGTCATACTCCCTATAAGCTATAAAATAATGTGCTACAATTGACACATACATCAATGACTCTGTAGCGCTTAGTGTACATTTTACAAAAGGATGTACAACAAATAAAGCAGGGAGTATTTATTAAAGCAGAAGATGACTCTGTTTTAATTAGTATTCTCTGCAAAAATTTTTGGTATATCTGTTTCTCATAAAATTTGCACACGTACATAAAATTTGCACACGTATATTAATATCGCTACAATTTCTTGCTATGACAGATTACCTAACTTTAGCAGTTATTTATTCTTATAATTGATATCTCGCTTCCTATAGTTTTCTATAGAGATACAATTTTAACAAATTGGGAACTTACTTGTTTAGCCAAAACGCGTTAATTGAGCTTGCATTCATGGATTGTAGCACAGGACTCTAAATAGTATAATTGCCAATGCGTAAATTTCAATTGATAAATAATGTTGAGTTATAAATAATATTCTTAACAGACGATAAAGAAAGCAGTGCGTCAGGCAGAACAAGGAAAAGAAGAAATTCATTTTGCAGAGCCGTAGACGACGCATTACAGTTGTCAAACTTTGTTTTTTTTTCTCAAAGATATCTTTTCATTTTTATTATTGTGTCTTTAGTTTGTTGTAAAATGTAAAAATTTATTTTCTTGTAATGTAAAAAATGTTACAATTGCTACAATTGTAAAAACATTGTAAAAATATAACACACATGCACACAGAGACACACACATACACACAAGTTTATAAAAATTATTTTAATAAAAGTGATATAAAGTGCAGCATTCAATGGAAAATTTACTTATTAGATTGTTTTCTCCCTTCACACTGTCTATTAAATACCCATCCCTTATTTGCAATAAAATATTAGTTTAAATACACCCTTATTCCTCTTCATAGCAGATAAATATTATATTAACATTCCAGCTTATAGGGGAAAAGATATTAATATAATAATATTTTTCTGCTATAAAGAGAAATAATATTGAATGTAGAATATTTTCTCCTGCAGCCATATCCAACAATACTCTTCCTTGATTCGCCACTTGCTTTGGGCATGAATATACATCAGCCCTGATAGACTAATATACATAAAGTTTTCATCTATTGAAAGTATATTATATCACGAAATGCAAAGTCGAAAAAAACATGATAAATAACAATTATAATCAACTTTTTGTAGTTTTTATTTTTCTTTCATATGGCTGCATGTCATTGCAAATTCTTTGACAGAATAAAACTGCAGATATCTGTGAGTGGAGATACAGCCAATATAATTTGAAAAAGAACATGAAATTTTAATTTTCTCATATGTACAATGTCATGTATACCTAACTAGGTATTATGGAATCGGTAAAAATTGATTTTGGTCAGAAGCTAACCGTTTTTTCTAGAAAAAACAATACAATTGTTGAAAATAACAGAATGATTCCGATTATAATAGATTCTGACGAGTTCCGACGGTACTCTGATAGCGCCCCATATTTTCGCTTCGTATACAAAATTCTTTGTATGTAGATAAAAAATGAAAGTGCATAGTCATACAAAAGACTTTACAGAATATTATGAGGCTTTTAGATAACGGTTTCAAGGGCACTAAATAAAAGTTTGAACTACAAATATGTTGCACGCATGCTGGCGTATATGTGGGCATTAGGCTCATTTACATAAGACGTCTAAGTAGAGTACCGATTTATTACGTGCGAAGCAGATGCACATGCAAAAATCCACCGTGTTAGAGAGAGTACACTACAATATTATAAATCCTCCACATTACGAACTGATGGCCTGCATAAAAATAAATTATGATAACTTCGAAATGGTTACCTCTGGTGCTTCTCATTAGCTGTCGCGACAAGCTAATGATCTGCATGCTACGTCCTGGGATTTGATTCTCATTTGCTAAGAGCAAATTCAACATGAGTTGCATGTTGCACATGCATATTACTATGGTGGCGCCACTTTATGTATCATACGTATGAAACCTAAGACCGTATTATACCTAATTTCATACGTGTATATAACCAATGTATAATACGTTAAGTATAATACGTGCCCAACCTTGGCAACAATTATTCTATCCTTGTTCACCAAAAGAGAAAGGAGGACAGAATGATATAGCGATACGAGCGCTACTATCGGAAAATACTGGAACTATGATGCCATTCTACTTATCACATGATTATACAGGGTGAATATTATATACCGGAACACCTGAATATCTCGAAAACAAAGCGTTGTATAAAAAAATGTTAAATACAAAAGTTGTAGGGTTTAAAAAGATCTATTTTATGATATTAGCAGTTTGACCTTGA